ATCAAGATCTGGATGATAAAAGACCCGACTCACAAAGGGCAAAAGAAGGAGGGGAGAGAGAGAGAGAGAGAGAGAGAGAGAGAGAGAGAGAGAGAGAGAGAGAGAGAGAGAGAGAGAGTCTATTCGTATAGCTCTGGCGACCCCTCTGGTACAATTGTATACATTCCTTAACGTCCGCGCGCGCGCGCGCGTGCACACACACACACACACACACACAGAGCGCGCGCACACACAAGGTTTCGTCGCGGGGAGGTCTTATGCCTTTTCCCTATTATCCCTAGTATCTTTGTCAAGAGTCAAGTCTATTTTTTTCTTAACCTCCGTCTGCTGATGCACCATCTGTTTGTTTTTTGAAATTTCATCCCTTGGAAAGGAAGTCTGCATGGCAATGGTTGGGTGATCATTTGCCCGACTAACTTTTTCATTTGAAGAAAACAGACCGGAGCATGTCGTTCTCTTTTTCAATATCTTTATTCCTTTTTGTCACTCACTCACTCACTCACTCATACACCCACTCACTCACTCACACACTCACTCACTCACTCCCTCACTTACTCACTCACTTACTCACTCACTCACTCACTCACTCACTCACTCACTCACTCACTCACTCAATCAATCAATTAATCAATCAATCAATCAATCAATCAATCAATCAATCACGCACTCAATCAATCAATCAATCTATCAATCGATCAATCAATCAAGCAATCAAGCAATCAATCAATCAATTCATCGATAGAAATCAGAACACTTTAAGGTACTCCGAAGCAAAACGACGTTGATGTACTCTTGAAGTTACTAGCAAGTCTTTTGGCAAAATGACACTTTTTTTTTTAGGGCGGGATCATACAAACATAGGCTTGGAGAAATTTAAACCACCAGTACCTTTGAGGCTTCTCTTGCTGAGGCTCAGCCGTTTTTTTTTTGTTTTTTTTTTTTAACGAAAAGGTCCCTGTGCCAGAGGCGTGTATTGATATTTGAAAAAATTGAGGCCAGGGTCCTTACAGTCTACCCGGAGTAACCAACACCGCTGAGGCTCAGCCTAGAAACTCAAACTCCTGACGCCTAAAAGGAGCAAATAGTGCGGGCCTTCTTTTGGCCGGCACCGACAGCCATTTTGCCCCAGCCGGCCTACACGCGAAACTTGGGGAGTGACAAAAAGGACGGATATGTAACCGTGTGATTTTCGCGACCTT